TTCATCGAAAAATACTTAGTATAAACACTTTAGAATGTATAATAATAAAGTCCTCACCATAAGAAGCCATTTAAATTTTTTTATGAAGATAGCGTAGGTGTAAATAAATTATAAATTAATGTTTACACCGATGATTTGAATGAATGAATGTAACTCGTTGAATCGTTAAGTTAATCGATAGCTAATAAAATTTCATTCATAAAACTGTTTTATCTTTTTGATTACATAATCAACATAAACAAAACGATGGATCTTTCACTCTTGGCAATACATGTACGTTTTATTTGGTATTACTAGGAATTGTAATATTGTGACGCGATTTATTTGGCAATATGACATCAAGACGATATTTTCTAGAATTACAATGATAGGAATGATCCATCTAATTATTTATCAAAAAAGACGCAGCCAATGAACCCGACTGACATCCCGAATTATTCCATTAAAAAATTAGGGGACCTGTTACCTTTTTTCTGCATCAAAATAAAACTTAATCTAGAAAAATCATAATTGGAGTTCGCTGTGAAATTTAAATGAATTCCCACACCTCCCTCTTGTGTTCGTGACGGCAAATTCCCTACCTCCCTCTTGGATGCATGTATCAGTGGAGCTATATTTTATTTTCTATATTTTTTGATAAATCTTCCGTTTCTAATTAGAATTTTACCGCTTGGAGTTTTGATGGTATATTTGAAAGCTAGGTATTTTATATCAATAATTGGAAAGGTTCGTATGCCCCGCCTGTGACGTCACGCTGTGTTTACGTACGATACACAAATATAACGTAGTTTTAAACAGTCACATTGTTTCACTATGGGCGAAGTTAGGGGAGGGCTTGGGGGGGCTAAGCCCCCCCAAAAACCAAATTAGCCCCCCAAAAATAATTCGAACATTTATCGCACATCCGCCCATACATTTCAGATTTTAGAACAGAAATTAAAAAATAAAAAGAATCGTGCCATTTGATTGATTCTGCAATTTTACATTTAGCTCAGGAGGCAGTAAATTTTTTTCTTACCTACTCATTTTTCCAGTAGGTGTATACGAGTAACAAAAAAAAAATGTTTGAGTCTGACTCTTATTTTCCCAGTCATAAATATTATACATTTACTAAACTAGAACAAAAAGTTTATAAAAATAGCAGTTTGGATTATCTCAGATAGTGGAAAGTGAGTGTGGCAGAAAATTTAGCATATAAATTGATACAATCATGAACTGTTAATAATAATGTCTAGCTGATTTACGAAATTGGCAAATGAGTCTGGTAACATCTTCAAAATCGAAAATATATAATATTTTAGCTTTTATTTTCCCGAGTTTGAAAATTTGCCACGTAATAGATTATATTGTAATTTTATACCTCTATTTTATAGCCAATCAAATGCTGTTATTTTAAAACGTTTCCATGAAAACTAGAAAAATTTCCGGTAATTTTCCTATTGGTGGGTACCCTAAACGAAATTATACTGAACATTTTTTTTGACAGTTGAGAAGCCCTTCCATGCATAAAATATTACGACGCAACGCGATAGTGTGATTAAAAATTTGCCGTTTTAGTGGTTAATATTTTATTTAATACCAATTATAACTAGGTAGAAATAAACTACATTTATTTTAAGCAAAATATTAATGAGGTTTTTCCCGTCAACTAAACGACTTCAAATATAACAAATAGTCATGGTATGGCCACAGCATTTAAAAATATATGTTTTATATGCTGTGGTATGGCCAGCTTTAAAAATTTGATTTTAGTCGTTTTAATGTATGTCTGTCAAGTTTTGAAATTTGGATATTTTGGTGTAAAATTTTCTTACCCAATACCACATCTGCTTAAATTATTATCAGTAAATTTTTGCTCACTCACGCATATTTTAAGAAACTTATCCATCGTCTTCGACTAAATTTCAAAATATTCGTAAGTTCGAAAAAATTTCCGGAAATAATTTAGTCACTTGTGGTATTCTAAGTGAAAATACACGTCTGGCTGACAATTACAATCACGAAGGCCTGCCAGACTCACAAGTAGTGTCCGACCGAAGGTTCGGTGACGGTTTCGGCCAACTTCGGCTTAAAATAAGAGTTTCGACTACAGTTTCGGTTTCGGCGGAAAACTGGCCGAAACTGCGGCCGACAGCAAAACACTTTCGAAAGTTGGTTGTGTCCTGCACAATGGCGACTGTGCCGGGTGCCATTCTTACACAGTGCACGTACACACAAACATCTCTGCTTTGTTTCAAGTGAACAGACTTCAGTGCTCCTAGCCTAATTTATTCGGATCAAAGGAGCAATTTTTTAGGTGAAAACGTGGAAAAATATTTTTTTTACACTACAACGTTAGACTGTGTACTTATGAATATTAATTTAATTATAAGTAACAAACATATTTAATCCGCTAAATTTGTTTGTTTTTTTTTAAATAAAAATTATACATTATATATAATTTTCTTCATAATACTATTTTTTGTTACAAAATATCTACTACAGATGCAGAAATGATTGATACTTTGTAATTCACTTACTTTTTTTTTAATTTTAAAAGTAATAAAAAAACAATGTCCATAAATGTATTAATGGCTTCTTTTGATCACCAAAAATAAATAGGTAATAAGTAAATGTAGCTTAAATTTATAATACGAGTTAATTAGTCTAAAACAAGGATTACAATAAGATACTGCAAATTTCAATAAGAGATTGCCTTAAAACAAAGTTCTTGTTTCGGTTTCGGCCGAAACTAAGAAAGGAGCCGAAATTTGGTTTCTGTTTCGGTTATAAAACCATATTTCGGTCGGACCTGACAAGCCAGGTAGTTAAACGAGGAGAGGAATAGCAATCGAACGTGCCGAATTTAGCGCGCTTGGCGATTATTAGATGAGTCTGGCAAGGCTTTCGGGGTGTTCCACATTAGCCAGATTGTATTTTAAGCTGTTTTCTAGTAGTGAGAAAACTTGTGACAGGGATCCTTACTGGACAATGCCAACTAAAAGGACACCTTAGTAAACTGAGATTAGTAGAAGATAGTGACTGCAGATTCTGTGAGAAGGACGAAACCTTCGTTCACATTCTAACTGGATGTGCAGCACTCCAGAATCAAAGGACACTATACCTAGGAGCATATAAAATAGAAGAGGGAAATTTACCTAACTTGAAGCCACTCCAAATCCTACACTTCCTTGAGAAAATATAATTGGAAGGATCTTTATAGGCATTGAGACATTTCTGTGCTGCATAAGCGACAGAAGGGGGCACAATAGATCTTTTAGGTCGCAGTTTATTAACACCCCAATCCCAACATAACATAGTGAGAAAACTGCAAAAAAATGAAATCCACCAATCACAGTTCATATTTTGAACACCCAACTACTATTATTTTTAAAATTTTAAATTCTGTCAGTATATATTTTAGTCATTAAGATTACATACGTTAAAATGAGTTATTTTTGTTTAGAATCGATAAAAAATGGCATTTTTATTTTTATTTGGGCCACATTTAAAAAAAAATAATTTTAATCAAATTGTATGAAACTGATTTAATTACGAGTATTAAAACTAAAAACCTGGAGTGAAGTGGAGCTGAGGACAGAGCATCTAGATTCCACGCGAATAGCCTGGGTTCGAATCTGGACAAGGGGCTTATTTTATGTTTATTATATTTTATAAATTAATAAAATTCATAAATTATTTTAAAATTAGTTATTTTGTCTAAACCTAAAATAATTTTTTAAATTTTTATATTTTCCTTAGTGGTTCATAGAAAAAATATACTGTACAACTCGAGTGAATTGTCCATATCTACTCTTGTTGCACAAACTATTATTTCATGACTGCGAAAATGAGGAAATTTTTTTAATGAATTATTGTGATGAAAATTTTTCAGGTTTTTTACTTGACATAAATATATATTATATATGATATTTTATCCATTTTCATAGATTCGCCAGAATTTTTTTACTTAACTTTAGTATACCTCTAGAACTAATATATATTATATAACTAGGGCTAGGGCTAGGGCTTTAGCCCCCCCCCCCCCCCAGATCTGATGACATAACTTCGCCCATGTGTTTCACGGATGTGTTGATCTCTCTTTTTCACTGCAGGCATTTGCGGAAACTGCTCGTGCTTAATCAGCATAGAGCGTCGACAAACACGCGATAAGTTAGAGCGCAATTGCGTACCAAAAAATTAAGATGTATGAAAATAATAAAAATATTAAAATTTAATTTATAGTTTAATGTTATTTTCACTGCACAATGAACCAACTGAGACACCGCCCCTAATTCTCTGTAACATCTGGCGGGAAGTCCAGTATTTTTTCGGAATTTTTTAGACAAAGAAATATTTAGAAATTAATAGAAATCGAAAAATTTTATACAATATTATTAAATCTATAGGTTTTAAACATTAAACAGTGTATGGATGAAAAATATATTATTGCTGCAAAAATTACATTTTGACCTAATTTTTTTACAAATGCAAAGACATATAGATTCGTTACATGCCATGATTTTTGCAGCTAATTTAATGTCATTTATGTTTAGAAAAAACTATAAATTTCTCTATTTCCGAGATTTTTTCATACTACAAATGATATAAATGACAACCTCGAAAAAATATTGGTAGTATAAGAAAAGATGGATTGCTCTACACCATTTAGGCCCAATAATATCTATTGTGCATCCTCTAGGGGCATATAGAACCTTCCTCTCAACATGTTTGTCCTAATCTAGAGACCCTGAATCGTGCAGATCCAAAATAATCTTAGAAGGTGACTTTTTACAATAACAATATATATTAGAATCTCATAATTTGTAAATGAAATTTTAAGTTTTTCGGAATAGATATTTCATTTTCAATTTTAAATTTGTACTATTTACTTATTTATTAATAAATCTGATGAATATATATGTATTTTTTAAAAAATCCATTTCACTGTGTTACAAAATATCTCTTTTTCTTTTATACGATCCGAATTTTTCTTAATTATTGTTTTTTTTTTGTTACAGTATACCTGTTCGTCTTCCTCTTAACGAGTCAAGTAAAAGCCCAACAGCAATATTTTCGCGTGCTGCCGAGGGACTTGAAAGTACAAGAGGGCGGCGAAGCGATGTTGGAGTGCGAGGTTGCCAATTTAGCCGGACAAGTGCAATGGACCAAAGATGGATTTGCTCTAGGTAAGCCGCTAACAAGGCCCTTATTGCAGCTGAGTTATTGGTCAACGAAATCTATTAAATTAGAGTTACGAACTAACGTAATTAATTGACATTAGCGTAGTTGGTGTTGACACTGCTGACTATTGTAATGGATGTCTCAGGAAGCAGAATGCGCATCTCGAGTATAATACGGGAGATGTTACATGAATATTTAATAACAGTAAAATTTATCTTGAAGTAATTTATGAAAGTGACATTTTTTTTATTACCATTTCTGACTAAAAAATCATTTTCTGGGCAGATATTTTTTGCTGTCTCAGCGGTGACAGTTTTTTCAAATCTCCAAATATGTTTTTTTTACCTTTGGGGTTCTGGAATAGTCTTAATAATTCATTAAAGGATTTTTGAGATTTGTTTCTGAATTTTTAAAACATTCTACACTGATTAATTGTTTATTATTTAAATATATAAAAAAGTTTATTGCAATAAGGTTATTTATATCTATGATTCCTTCGAAAAATTCGTGGAAGTCATAAAAAATAAAAGTTAACATATGATTATTATTAAATTTTTTGAAAGCTGTTATTTTTTAACCTAAAGAAGTTGATAGTAATACATTTGAATAATTACTACTACCTACCAAAATAAAATTGTTCTGCTATTGTGGGTTTTAAAATGGATTTTGTGCTACCGGTATTAACTATAGTCCAGTCATTTAAGCTTAAATTAGGTAAGAATCTCGGAACTGGAGATACCCAGCTGTAAGTCTGTAAATACTTGTATATTGACACGCTAAAAGTTATCTCAAAACCTACATATGGCAGGGTGTACGCAACTATTAAATTTCAAGGTCAAATGTCACAAAAATCGGTTTTTTGCGCTTTTTTGTAAATATCTCATTTTTTATGGGTTTTTTGCTATTTGTATTTATTATCAATATTGTAGAATACAAAATTCTCTACAAATTTTGTTTAAAAAAATTCAGATTATAGTAAGAACGTAAAAGCTATGAAGCAGCAGAGAAGATGAAACAATAGTTGTACCAGTTACTCAAGACAAATTCTTATCAAATCGAAATAACAAAGATATGCTCATTAATATGTTAATTGAAAAATTACAAGCTGCAAATATTACTACTAAACAAGCCAGAGATAATGCTGATGTTCTTATTGTTGAAACTGCAATTGAAGAATCAAATTCTGAAAAAACTGCAGTTATAATAGGACAAGATATTGATTTACTTGTCATTTTAATTGGGCGTACACTGTCTTACGAACAAGACATTTTCTTTAAAAAAGTTGGGAAAGGAAATGTAAAAACGGGGATATACTTGACTAAAAGTTTTGATAATTATCCTCATTCCAAAACACATATTTTATTTCTGCACGCATTAAGTGGCTGTGACACAACTTCTGCGATTTTTAAAAAGGGAAAAAATCATTTTTTAAAGTTTTTGAGAAACTGACAAATTTGAATGAACTAGCTGCAGCATTTGAGAAAGAAAATTGTTCGGCCCAGAGATTATTAGAGAGTGGAACTCAAATCTTATTGGCAGTCTATAATGCTCCGAAATCTGTGAAAAGTCTCGATCATCTTCGTTATATGCATTACGTCAAGTCTACAAAACTTAATTAACCTGTGCAGCTTTCAAATATTCCACCAACAAAAGCAGCTGCTCATCAACCTTTCAAACGTGTATATTATTAAGTTCAAACTTGGTTAAGGCATGATTTGGAACCCCAGGTATGGAGTTGGGCAATGCGAAACGATTTTCTGGAGCCTATCATGACAATTTTACCACCTGCTCCAGAAGATTTGCTAAATACAATTTTCTGCAACTGCAAGAGTGGTTGTGGTTCGCGAAGCGGATGCAGGAAAGCGGGCTTGCAATGCTCTTTAGCTTGTGGCCAATGTAATGGGCAAGCTTGTCTCAATGCTCTTTCATATCAGAGCGACATTAACGAAGATGGAACCTTTGACCCCGAAATCATGGAAGAACTTGAGAGAAATGTCGTTGAAGACGATAATGAAGACCAGTTTGAAATTTACCAGCAGCCGGAAGACGACGATGAAGAGGAAGAAGATTATTAAAATTATAAATTGTAGTTTTTGTACCTTTTATTCCATTTTTTTACTTTTAATAAAAATAAATGTATTGAATGAAATTTTTTAATAAAAAGATTAATTCATAATTTATTTGTTTTTTTTTTTTTCATCATGTGAGAATTTATTAATATTAATTAGGTTAAAATTCCTATATTTTCATTAACAATTTTGCAATTACATGGGCAGGTAAGTGTTGTTAAATAAATTAATACTAAATAAAAAGTGGATAGGTTAGGAAAAAAAATGATAAAATATAATATAATAGTTAATAAAAATTGACAAATATTTATAATCATTGATTTATCGATATTTCATCAACTATATATGGCGCGTTTTCGACCGGAGGCACCGGTTGACCTGAAGTGATGCTGTGACCGCGCGCTCTCCGTCATCTATCTCGAAAACGGTTCACTGTATGAAAATTTTTTTAAACAAAATTTTTAGAGAATTTTGTATTTTACAATATTGATAATAAATACAAATAGCAAAAAACCCATAGGAAATGAGATATTTACAAAAAAAGCGCAAAAAACCGATTTTTGTGACCTTTGACCTTGAAATTTAATAGATGCGTACACCCTACCATATGTAGGTTTTGAGACAACTTTTAGGGTGTCAATATACAAGTATTTACAGACTTACAGCTGGGTATCTCGAATTCCGAGGTGAACTTACTATAATGATTGGACTATAATATTTTCAGAGGTTGTTTCGAAATTTCAATATACGGTAGAGGTTTTATAGAAGTTATATTTAATTCTACTAACTTGGAGTTTTCTTCAGGATTCAAATAATTGACATTTCAAATTGTAAAAATGAATTTGTATAATGATCTGCTTCTATTTGATTTTCACGATAATCGATCACAAGTTTTTTCAGATATAAAATTAGGCTTTTGATTATTATTTTGGAAAACATTATTAGACTTATTATTTGGAATTAAAGTTCTTTTCTGCAGTGGTAATTTATACAAATTCCTGCGTCTAACTTTGATACAACCTATACAAATTTAATACCATAATGCAATTAATATTTTCATTTTTGAGTCTACTATTATACATATTTCGAATAATAATTAATATTTTCCTAAATATGCTTTAAAATCGTTAGAAAGTTTGTAATTTAAAACTAGACTGCGAATCTTCTACAATTTCGTATGCAGGAACACGTTTTCAAATAAAATTTAGCCTCAATTTAGCCTCACAAAATCGCGAATGTCAAATATTCCTCCTAGCGGGATTTACACTATACACATACCGACTCTATATAGAGTCTCAATACTTCGTCAAGATACATCCAAGAAATGCGTTTTTTTTTTTTTTTTTTTTCATTTTTGACGCGTGACAAAACGGTTTAGATCATCTTTCACGAGATACGTGTTGGATTTTTAAAAATATAGAATGCTATTAAATGGAGTTTATTCCTATTTTTTGTATCGGAAGAGTTATTTTTATCAAAAAACTGTCTTACACTTTACTAAATATGCAATATTAAAAATATATTATCGTTAATTTGGAAGAAAACGGCTTAAAAACAATAATTTCACAAAAAAGGAAATTTAAATGATTTGGTAGTTAAAGATTCAAAAATTATTAACGGCTACAATTTTATAATTTTAATCTGTTAAATAAACTTTGTCAGTGGCGTACGGTATGTTTAGGTAACATCTTCATCCACCACTGTCCAAAAACTTATTTGGACTATACTTTTGAATTTGAGATGGAAATATCATAGCTTGTTTACTATTTTTAGCAATATCCTTCTACCGTCTTTATTTACTTAATCATAGATAGGTATTAAAGTGGTTGTTAAAAATTAAATATTTTTCGATGCCCTAAAAACCCTTTCTTATGATGAAAAAATACTGTGATTTATTTATTTTTTTATTTGAACAAGTCGATTGAAGTTTATTTTTTCATAAAATCGTAGTTTTTCAAAATTTCTCTTAAAGTAGACGAATTTGAGAAAAAAAACATTGAGAGAAATTTTATAGGCAATAAAATTTAAAAATTTTTTAACACATCAAGGTTTACATTGTGCTGGAAATCCTTTGACATACCTTTCGAAGTCTTTCCAAACTTTTCCCGAGCAACAACCGTACGCAACCGCTTATGACCACTTGAACAATTTACAAATCTACGAAGCGGCTTCGAACTTAATCTACTAGGTAATTGTTATGCCGGTAAGGAGGATTCCTGCAATTGTTCGGGATCCGCCTTATGTACATTCGTGCCGGAACTAACGGGCATAACCCTAATCTCTAATAGCTTGCGGTATCACTTAAGTTCTGGCAAATTAATTCAGTATTAACTTCGGACACAAGGCTTCGGCTTCGTGTATATCTATGAAAATTGAATGGAAAGCGGCCGACGCGTAAACGGGTTTTAATTCTATGTGCAAATATACTTTATCTATTAGGTGGTGAATAGGTTAGGGTTCAATGGGGTGTTGGAGTATGTGCCGATAGATTTTAGATAAAAAAATCAGGAAATTAAGTTTATCTGTTGTTAAATAATGTCAAATTGCCTAATTCACAAAAAGCATTTTCAAATTTTGAAAATAAAATATATTTTTAATTTACATTTTCTGTTTTAAAGCTCAGATGAAGGACATAATGTTACATATGATATAATGTGATATAATGTTATCAGAGAGTCTTTAGTTGTTCTGTCACTTTTACAGTGTATTCCATTGGAATGTTAAGAGATTTGCGCTATTTCATGCCCATTAAGAATCTGCTTTAAAATCCAAAATATCGGGTGAAAACTAAAAATTGTCATTTTGGAAAACTTACGATATTGTCTACATCGTTTGAGAAAATTTAACGAAAATTTTGACTCTTGTATTATGAGCTATGCCCAATCGACTGGCGCTATCGAAAAATTTCCAGACCTTCTAGATTTTAAGCAATCGCAGCCAACTTTTTTTATTATTTATGGTTGCCATATTTAATTTTTATACCAAAATTCTCAATTCAACGAATGTTTTAAAGAAAAGTGAGGGTAGGTTAAAATCTTATTTTTCAATCTTCATATGGGCGCCATATTGCATTTCTATGCCATATGAGCAAAAAAACTATTTTATTTGCTATCGCACTTTGAATTTTAAACATTTTGCCATGTTAATGACATTACCCGATATTTTGGAAATCCCTGTAGATATTTTAGATTGCAAAGCAGATTCTTAATGGGCATGAAATTTTCTAATTTCACCAGCACTGTAGCTCTTACCGTTTGGGATTTCCCACTTTAAGAATGACCGCCCTGTATACAGGGTGGGTAACCGGTAATGCCTCGGTCTGTAGGGCCAAAACAATTTGATTTTTTTAAAATTTGTTTTCACAGCAAGATGTAAATGAGAAAAGACAACAATTTAAAAATAATTTCAATTATACAGGGTTCTCCAAGAACACGTATCAAAATTATATATTTTTTTTAATACAAAAGTCTTAATTTTCGTTAAATTTTCTCAAACGATGTCCAAAATGACAATTTTTAGTTTTTACCCGATATTTTAGAAACCCCTGTGGATATTTTAGATTTCAAAGCAGATTCTTAATGGACATGAAATAGAGCAACGTTTCTCTAATTTCACCAACACTGTATCTCTTACCGTTTAGGATTTCCCAATGGTATACACTTTAAAAGTGACCACCCTGTATACAGGGTGGGTAACGAAATTAAGAAATACACAATTTAATTTTAAATATTTTATGTTTATTTTCATATAACTAAGAAATAGAATGTAGTTTTTTTGTTTTTTTCAAGAAATTCCGTAACGAAAATAACACCCCCACTCCGACCGGCACAGCGGTGCGGCGTTGAAATCCGTGGAAGGTTTTATCCGACCCTATTCGTATTAGTATGAAGCGGAGTTAAATATAGGTCTGCGGACTGGAACGTTTATGCAATACAAGAACTAGAAGAGCTTTCTCGGGCTTCTAATAAATTGGTATCACAAATGTTCCCGGCTGGCGTAAATATTAGATATTAATTTTTTTTTGCAAGATTTATAAAATATTAATTTTTATTTTATCAGTGTTAACTATTTCATTATTAAGCTATTGCATAGATCTTATTGCCACCCCCCCCCACTGATTCTATTTCTTTTATACACAATTTCGGAAAAATTGAATTTGAAAATGAATAATGATCCACAACAATATATGGGACCACCATTGACGGGGTATTTTCCAGATATTTAGAGGATATCAAGTCTTATGTTTCTTATTTCAGTTAACATAAACCTATAGTTTGTCAATTTTGCCTTGAGGTTTTGAATTTTACTTCTTTAGTTTTCGAGTTTTACGAGTATTGTCTAAAACGGATTTATTACATGTGTCTCAAGATTGTTATCATCTTCTTCTTGCTCTTTATTTTTTCTAACAAGTTTGTGACCTCAAGTGGGTAGTTTATTCTCTTTCTTAAATGGGTAATTTCTTTGGTGTTATTATATACAGCTGTTTGAACAATTTTGGAAAAAAAGTTTTCAGCTTCCTCAACAAGTTGTATATTTATTTAGATTTAACTTTTCTAGTGAGTAGTTTTATTGCTCTTTTAATAACTGTTTCACTCAAGATCAGAACTACAGCTGTAGTTATTTAAAAAAAAAAGGAATACTATACCATTTTGCCAATCTTGTTACGTAATATTTCATCGAAGTGTGAAATACAAACCTGATTAGTTCAATATACTGTATAATATATATATTATTGATCTGTCTACATAAATTTACCTCATTTATTATGACAAGAAACATGAAATTGTAGTTTAAAAGGATCTGATAAAATTTAACTGCCTTACTACATTAATTTTAGTTGAAATTATCTACCCACTGATTTATGATTTTGCGAAACCAAATGTTACAAAAAAAAAAAACATACTAGCTATTAGCGTAAGGTCAACAATCATTCTCCCAACCTCCAAGAAGGAGAAAGAAACTTGAACCACAATTTCCAACATGCAACCGAACATTGCCATTGAGTACATTTTTTTCGAGAAAGGTATAATAATTTACAGTTACAGGACCGTTTTTTATGTTTTTAATGGATATATAGAGTGATTAGAAAATAACTGGGGTATTTTTGATTTTTTTTTTACATTTGTGCTATTACTATTACACCTGGTTGAGAGCAATTATCTTTTTGCAAGAAGGGAGTAGATTCATTTTGGTTAAATTTTGGGAAATAAGAAAAAAAATACAAATTAACCCTTCCTTTTTAATAATATTTAATTATTAAAGCTACTAAAGTTATATTGGTATTTAAATATAATCTTTAATCTTAGCTTAATAATAAAATATCAGTAAAGGAAAGCTATAAAAAAATTATTACTAAATAAATTTTTTTCTTATGGTTTAAATATTATTTTTCGGTTAATCGTCAATGTAAAATGTACTAGAGATTGTCCGATTAAGAACTGTCAGCTTCTCTATAATTTTTCTTCTACATGTGATTTCTCTAAAATGGACCGTATTGGAAAAATTTGAGGAAAAGTAAAATTCGAAATAAAATTTTAATTTTTTAGTAATTTCGTTGGAAATGAAAATGTTTCGGCTAAGAGTGTGTGCAAAATGTATGCTATATAGTTCATCATCTAAACGTTTACAGAGGTGATACAATAAGTTGTACAACTAGACAGGACATATCATATTTTTTTGGAAGAAAAATTGTAATCCCTTAAAAATAATATGTATATTCAAGAAATTTAGACATCCCATTTATATAATTTTAAAAGTTAAACTGCCTCAAAATGACTGAAACGGTCCTGCATATATAATTACGGTCACTCTACTATCTCGCGAATCGTTCTCAATCAATTTAAAAAGGTGTAACAGTTCTACTTCATGCATATAGGCGTAATTATTGTGAATATTAATTTGTTGTTTTGTTACAAAGAAGTCGTTAGTTGTTATGGATGAACGATTGCGCAGATGATATGGTAAAAAAGTTTGATAACGGGTTCGACCGATTCAATTCGATAAATTTCTTTATCCGCTTATGATCTGATTCATTTTGTCTTTATTTTTCTGTCGACGCTGCGAAATCGTTCCACAATCAAACGAAGAAGAACTGTAAAATGCAGGTTATTCGCCAGTAAATTGATTTATTTCACAAGAAATATGAAACGTTCGGTTTTTAATAATGGCTTAGTTTAGGAACGGTGGTTAGATTAAGATATTTCGGTGCTACAAATTTTTTGCAGGTTTGTTTTTGTGAAAGTTTATAAAACAAACGGTATTCATATGAAAAAACTTTCTGGCACCTCAAATGTACATACAGGGTAAATTTTGATAGATACCTGTTATGGGTAACACTATTATAATTAATTCCAACAGCCCCTCTCAAAAATTGAACCCCAGTATAAGTATTCTAGCAGTAATAACACTCCCTGGGCGGGAGCTGGCGTTTTCGGGATATATATTCTATCACTTGTCATAAAATATATTAATTTTAAAGAACTTATATCAACTATTATGTTAATTATAAATATTTGTAACAAAATAATGGTTGTGTATTAATAAACCTGTTGCCACTCCAAAAAATATATTGTTTATTTATTATCAGATATCAAAAATATACGTACCTATAGAAATGTGTTGAAATATGTTCTATTGCTCTTCTTTTAATCCTTTTAATACGTTCTTAATATAATTGTAAATAAAAATCAACACTTTTAAACATATGCATATTTTAAGTTGTAAGAATTCGTAGTCTCTTAATTTTTTTACATTAAACACAAGACCTGTGATGTCACATTAAATCATGAATATGAAGTAAAGGATATGGGAGTTGTCTTTCAGTTTAGTTTGAAGTTCAATAATAATTTCTTACATATAACTAAAAAAGCAATAAAAGCTTTGGGTTTTTAATTCAAAAATACAAAAAAAATTTAGGATTACCACCAAAATCAGATTATATAATGCCTTAGTAAAACCCTATGACACCCTGTATAAAAAAATCGATTTAGAACTCCTGGAAATTGAGAATTCGCAGTCGAAGTTGAAGCTTCTTATACACTACCAGATTTTAAGAAATCACAAAGGCACTTATACTGACCGTATATAGGTGTTTTTACGAACCACTAAAAAAGACATTCCAGCTTCCAATCGAGAAAAAATCGATATATCCAATTTATTTTTACTATCCTGAACGTGTTTACTTTCTCGCAGGTTTTTTGTCGGTAATTCCCGGATTCCCTCGTTACTCCGTGATAGGGGACAGAAGACACGGAGTTTACAACCTGAGAGTGAGCAACGCCTCCCTCGAGGATGACGCTGAGTACCAGTGCCAGGTGGGGCCCGCTAGACTCCAGAAGGCCATCAGGGCCAACGCCAGACTCAACGTTATTTGTAAGTACATTATTTCTTTTACTTGTCTATTTGTTTTTCTTTATTTCTATTTTATTTGCCTCGGAGTAATTGCGGTCCCGATAAGGGAATTTGATTACTTCGTTCGTGATGGTCGCTAGCGTAATTTCTTAGGATTTTTCGATCTAATTCACTTGGGCAACGACCGGTTGTTCAACTATCTTTAAAAAACACACTCAATCTACATTAAAAATAAACATTTATAACATATGATTCAACAAACCTAAAGTTAATTATAAGACGAAGCCTTATTTCTCAGAAATCTATAATCCAAAAATTCATAAATAGATTTCGAAAAACGTCTATGGTGTAAAACTGGCGTCCAAGCTGTCAAAAACGTATTACTTATTTTGATTTTAAATCTCCAAACATAAATAGCATTTGTTCAAAAAGAAAACCTCCAAAAATTTCCAAATTATAAATTTAATTCTACATTATATACATAAACAGATTTTGGTTTCTAGGGATTTTTAAGGTTTTCTAGGATTTTCTTCGACTTTCCATAAGATTTTTTATAATTTTCTTTGAATTTCTATGATTTTTTAAAGATTTTCCATGGTTTTCTATGATTTTCTACGAATTTTCTAGAAATTTCTATGATTTTCTTTTAATTTCTATGGTTTTCTATGGATTTTCTAGGATTTTCTTTGAATTTCTATGGTTTTCTATGAATTTCTATAGATTTTTTATGATTTTTTTAGGGATTTCTAAGGTTTTCTAAGATTTTTTTCGATTTTCCGTAAGATTTCTTATGATTTTCTTAGAATTTCTATGATTTTCCGTAAGATTTCTTATGATTTTCTTAGAATTTCTATGATTTTCCGAAGATTTTTTATGGTTTTCTATGATTTTTTATGGATTTTCCAGGAATTTCTATGATTTTCTTTGAATTTTTATGGGTTTTTATGGATTTTCCAGGAATTTCAATGATTTTCTTTGAATTTCTATGGTTTTCTATAAATTTCCATAGATTTTTATGATGTTCTAGGGATTTCTAAGGTTTTCTAGGATTTTCCATAAAATTTTCTATGATTTTCTTTAAATTTATATGATTTTCCAAAGATTTTCCATGGTTTTCTATTATTTTCTATGGATTTTCTAGGAATTTCTATGATTTTCTTTTAATTTCTATTGTTTTCTATGATTTTCTTTTAATTTCTATGGTTTTCTATGGATTTTCTAGGAATTTCAATGATTTTCTTTGAATTTCTACGGCTTTCTATGAATTTCCATAGATTTTCTATGATTTTCCAGGAATTTCTAAGGTTTTCTAGGATTTTCGTCGATTTTTCTTTGAATTTCTATGATTTTCTATGGGTTTCTATGATTTTCTATGAATTTTCTAGGAATTTCTATGATTTTCTTTTAATTTCTATGGTTTTCTATGGATTTTCTAGGAATTTTAATGATTTTCTTTGTATTTCTATGGTTTTCTTTGAATTTATATAGATTTTTTATGATTTTCTATGGATTTCTAAGGTTTTCTAGGATTTTCGTCGATTTTCCAGGATTTTCGTCGATTTTCCATAAGATTTTTTATGATTTTCTTCAAATTTCTATGATTTTCTATGGTTTTCTATTATTTTCTATGGATTTTCTAGGAATTTCTATGATTTTCTTTTAATTTCTATGGTTTTCTATGGATTTTCTAGGAATTTCAATGATTTTCTTCGAATTTCTATGGTTCTCTATGAATTTCCATAGATTTTCTATGATTTTCTAGGGATTTCCAAGGTGTTCTAGGTTTTTCTTCGATTTTCAAAAAGATTTTCTATGATTTTCTTTCAATTTATATTATTTTCCATGGTTTTCTATTATTTTCTATGGATTTTCTAGGAATTTCTATGATTTTCTTTTAATTTCTATGGTTTTCTATGGATTTTCTAGGAATTTCAATGATCTTCAAATTTCTATGGTTCTCTATGAATTTCCACAGATTTTCTATGATTTTCTAGGGATTTCCAAGGTGTTCTAGGTTTTTCTTCGATTTTCAAAAAGATTTTCTATGATTTTCTTTCAATTTATATTATTTTCCATGGTTTTCTATAATTTTCTATGGATTTTCTAGGCATTTCTATGATTTTCTTTTAATTTCTATGGTTTTCTACGGATTTTCTAGGAATTTCAATGATTTTCTTTGAATTTCTATGATTTTCTATAAATTTCCATAGATTTTCAATAATTTTCTATGGGTTTCTAAGGTTTTCTAGGATTTTCTTCGGTTTTCCATAAGATTTTCTATGATTTTCTAGAAAATTTGCGTTACTGGCGCATAGATTTTGCGTGAGTTTCTAAGATTTTTCCTAAGATTTCACACATACTGCACTAGATTGATAACTCTACAAGAGTTTGTGTGTTGCATATGGTTTACTCTCCACCCTTTTCTCCTTCTTTTCCACCTTCTTCTTCTTCTCCTCTTTCTTATCCTTATTCTACGTAATGTTACTTTTGAACGTAATGTTAGGTTAGATGACATTTATGACTGTCAGGTTGGCAACTCTGTTGCCTCTTTGGCTTTGCTTTTTCACAACGACATTTTTCCCGTTTGAATCAGGCTAATAACAGCTGAGATATAGACGTAGGCCTTTTTGGTTTTGCCACTGCACTTTCTTTAACGTTACTGAGTTCTCTACATAATACCGTTTTCCTCGATTAAATCCGACCAATAATAGCTGTGATACATGCTTAGGATCTTTTGGCATTACTACTGTGCATTATTTTTCACTTCAACGTTTTCCAGTTCTCTACATAATACCGTTTTTCCCGTTTGAATCGGACCAATAGAAATAAAGATACACGCTAAGGCCCTTCTGGCTTTTCGTTCAGCGCATGTTTTTTCTGTTCGACGTTAATCTACCGCGTTCTCTACATAATACCGTTTTTCCCGTTTGAATCGGACCAATAGAATTAGAGATACACGCTTAGACCCTTCTGGCATGATTTTTCTGTTTGACGTTAAAAGAGATTTAATTCTCCTCACTCCCCCGCTGGCGTTAGCTACTGATAAGATACTCGACGCGTGACGTCGCCGTAAAAAAATGCAGAATGAACCTTAGCGATTTCTTATGGGATTTAACATGGGGCTTGTTTTAGAATGAACATAGTACATTTACTCTAGTGTCATGTAATATAACTCAATCATCAGAAATGCTGTTGTGCAGTGTAATCGATTCAGATATTCTGGAAGATGAAGAGTATTTTAACAGTAAATATGACATACAATTTTAAATAATCCAATAACAAATATTCAGATAAAATAAATAGTTATGTAGTTTTCTTGTACGCCACTGGTAACACGATCTAAAACCGACAAAAAATTGTTTTTCTCAGCGGACTTCTTGCCAGACACCCAGTTTAGTATAAATTTTATGTGAGTGGGATAAACTACTATAAAAGCTTGCTTGCATAACTGGTAAAACTTTTTATAGTTCAATGTACTCCTTTAATCCTTTTTTCCTTTAATTTATTTGTATTTTATCGGTATAATTATTATTAGCCCAATCGGATTAGTATTTTAGATTCTGAAAAATTCGAAGCAGCAATTTTCCTTCGGAATTCGTTGGAGGGGGTCTCTGGTAGTCTAAATTCAAAAAGTTGGGATTCCAAAGTTGTCGTTACCTCCGCCATCTTGATTTAAAGGGTTATTTTTTGTATCTTGAATAACTCATTTATTTTCAATTTTACACGGAAAATAGTTTTTACAAAAGTTATTTAAAATTAAATTTCCTACAATTCTGCTTTTTTTTGTACGATCGATTTTTTTCGATTTATACCCGAAAAGAGGGGGTGAATTTTTGGTTATAGAATATAACTCGTTTATTTTCAATTTTACGAGAAAAATTGTTATAAAAAAAGTTGTTTAAAATTAAATTTCCTACAATTCTGCTTTTTTCTTGTACGATCGATTTTTTTCGATTTATACCCGAAAAGAGGGGGTGAATTTTTGGTTATAGAATAACTCGTTTATTTTCAATTTTACGAGAAAAATTGTTATAAACAAAGTTGTTTAAAATTAAATTTCCTACAATTCTGCTTTTTTTTGTACGATCGATTTTTTTCGATTTATACCCGAAAAGAGGGGGTGAATTTTTGGTTATAGAATAACTCGTTTATTTTCAATTTTACGAGAAAAATTGTTATAAACAAAGTTATTTAAAATTAAATTTCCTACAATTCTGTTTTTTTTGTACGATCGATTTTTTTGTATTTATCCCTGAGAAGAGTGGGGGTGAACCTAAGTATTGTATTGTCACGTTTATTATTGATGTTGTACCATTATTTTTTCTGTTTGTTTTTTTTTTGCTGATTTTCAAAAATGTTATTTGGTACAATTATGATTCCGATTTTTTCTAAGAGTTTACCCCCACTCTTCTCAGGGATAAATACAAAAAAATCGAGCGTACAAAAAAAAAACAGAATTGTAGGAAATTTAATTTTAAACAACTTTGTTTATAACAATTTTTCTCGTAAAATTGAAAATAAACGAGTTATTCTATAACCAAAAATTCACCCCCTCTTTTCGGGTATAAATCGAAAAAAATCGATCGTACAAAAAAAAAGCAGAATTGTAGGAAATTTAATTATAAATAACTTTTGTAAAAACTATTTTCCGTGTAAAATTGAAAATAAATGAGTTATTCAAGATACAAAAAATAACCCTTTAAATCAAGCTGGCGGAGGTAACGACAACTTTGGAATCCCAACTTTTTGAATTTAGACTACCACAGACCCCCTCCAACGAATTCCGAAGGAAAATTGCTGCTTCGAATTTTTCAGTTCTTCACCTAATCCGATTGGGCTATATTTTAATATTGCAATTTAAGCCTATTATATTTTTCAAATATTAAGATTAAGTGCACGAGTATAATATACAGGGTGTTTTAGAATGTAATGTACTTGAAGATATAGGACACTTAGATGTTTTAAATTTAAATATAAAAATTAACTATAGGAATAATAATTACCAAGTTATGTTTAAACTC